TAGTGCATCCAGGTTTGCATTAAAGTGAACATCTTGGAGGCAGGGCTGTTTCTTACTTATCCTCATATTTGCTCTATGTGCCCAGTACAGAGTCTGTTGGACTGATAAACTCTTATCAACTAAACATATAGTAGAAGACTAGGGTCGGGTTTAGATATTGGATGACAACAGTGTGGTGTGATTTGCAGTGTTTTCTGAAGGGTCAAGCGTGTCATCTGCTCCTTTTCTGTTGTGCTACCTGGCTAGACCGAGGGCTTTGTGTGGTACTGAAAGTCGGAAGCCACTTCCTGGCTTCCATTTGTGTGTTCACTAGCCTAGAGTGAGACCCGATGAGCCTTGCATGCTCTCACTGTCCCCACAGTGAGGAGAGCAGCTGCTGGCTTGCAGCATCAGCTATGTTCCTGATTTTCCATGGTGCCTAGTTATTCACCAAATGCTGCCCTAGAACTAAATATGAAAAAAATACTAGATAGAGTTTTTTTTTTTTTTCCTTTTTGTCTTTTTTCCGTGTCCGGCAACGGATCGCAACCCTCAGTGTTGCCCCCGTACTGGACCGGGGACCGGCAACGGGATCGCAAGCCTCGGTGTTGCTCCCGCGCCTCGCTCAGCCAGTGAGCAGGAGCCGGTCTGTATGTGGGATCCGAACCCTCGGACGGGAGCGCCACCGCGCTTCCCAAGCGGCGCACTATCCAGTGCGCCACCGGGCCGGCCCATAGATAGAGTTTTTGACAGTAGGTGACTAGGTTTATTTGGACAGGTGGGTTTTTGTTGAAATTATTTCTTTTCACTTATGCACACATTTCACTTATGCACACATATCTGATTTAATGCTTGCTGATATAGAAGGGACTGCACAGGGACGGGGCAGTCATCATCATGACATTTTGATGCCCTGACTCTAAAACTCATTAAAAAAGGCGATGCCCTAAATCTAGATAGATTTATTCTGAAGAATGGTTTCTAATCCCTACTTTAAGGTTCATTGTGCTATTACTTGAAAAGTTGATCTGGTTTCTGTTTCTTGCGTGACATCAGGCTTTATCTCTCTGCTTCAGCGGATCCCCCTGTCATCTCAGAAGAGAAGGGGCCCTGTTACCGCCTTGTCAGTTCCGGAAGGCAGTGTATGCACCCTCTGTCTGTCCACCTCACCAAGCAGCTCTGCTGTTGTAGCGTGGGCAAGGCCTGGGGCCCACACTGTGAGAAATGTCCCCTTCCAGGCACAGGTAAGGCATGCACAGCTGTACACTCACATACATTCCCAGCCTCACGAGTATGCAGGACAACTTTGGTAGCTGGGATCATTTTTTGGTTTCTTACGTTAAATTTAGTTTTTAATAATACAATATGTTTATCACTTTTGTAGAAGCCATAGACATATAAGATTGAATCAGTGGAAAAAATTACATGCAAAGAGATTTTCCCATTTCTGTGTAACAGTAGACTTCCTTGTGAATATTAAGAAAAGCCATTACATTTTACCCTCAACTTCCAGGACTTTACAACTGATATATAAGTGTAAAGAGACCAGAAGCTTCGGTTGGGCCATGTGCTTTCCCGATGGCTTTGGTCATCACTTCACAGGAGCTAGACCTTGTGCAGGTTCCTTCATTCACTCGTTTATTGAACATTGTGCTTTATTTCTTTAATTGGCAATGGAGGGAATTATATTCATGATTGAATTTTTGCCACTGAGATTAATAACTCAAAGGCAGATCCTGCCAAAACCCCTATGAACTTCCAGGGGAGTTGAGTATTAAGAAGTTGATTATTCTTTATCCTTCACTTTGGCACATTATTGCCTAATACCCTGCAGGGGCAAATTTATCTAAGTTCCTTATTATCTAAGTACCAAGGAGTCACCGACCTCTCAAGCAGGGCAAAGTGGAGTTGAATGGAAGAGAAGGAAATGTAACCTGGAAATATTAAGCATAATATTATTAAGGAAGGAGTGGCCTCAGTTTCACTCGGCTTGGGGTGGGCATAAAACAGAATGCTTAATTGCTTACTTGATAAGATGCTTCCCACCTAGGGAAGTGCATCAGCTGTCACAGGGCCATGTAGTGTCTTAAAGCTGTGACTTACACTAGAACAGACAGGGTTTAAATATAAAGTAAAGTATCATGATCCATCTTTGTTGGTGGTTAGAATCAGAAAGAACTGTTAAGGCAAAGGATAATACAATGTTTTACAATATAGTATATTGGTAGACTAGGTAATTTTGGATACCTCCAAAAGGCCCTAGTACCCCCTGTGCCATCTGATCCACTCATTATTAAAAAGTAATAATCAGGTAAATAATCTTTATAATTCATAGACACATTTCTCTTTAAGCTCAATTTTGATAGCTTTGTAATCATTACCTGAAGCATCAATCAAGATGTTAATATAATTCAGGGACACTCCTCCATGGTACAATAACTCAATTTGAAATAATACTAAAGGGTCATCACTTCACAGGAGCTAGACCTTGTGCAGGTTCCTTCATTCACTCGTTTATTGAACATTGTGCTTTATTTCTTTAATTGGCAATGGAGGGAATTATATTCATGATTGAATTTTTGCCACTGAGATTAATAACTCAAAGGCAGATCCTGCCAAAACCCCTATGAACTTCCAGGGGAGTTGAGTATTAAGAAGTTGATTATTCTTTATCCTTCACTTTGGCACATTATTGCCTAATACCCTGCAGGGGCAAATTTATCTAAGTTCCTTATTATCTAAGTACCAAGGAGTCACCGACCTCTCAAGCAGGGCAAAGTGGAGTTGAATGGAAGAGAAGGAAATGTAACCTGGAAATATTAAGCATAATATTATTAAGGAAGGAGTGGCCTCAGTTTCACTCGGCTTGGGGTGGGCATAAAACAGAATGCTTAATTGCTTACTTGATAAGATGCTTCCCACCTAGGGAAGTGCATCAGCTGTCACAGGGCCATGTAGTGTCTTAAAGCTGTGACTTACACTAGAACAGACAGGGTTTAAATATAAAGTAAAGTATCATGATCCATCTTTGTTGGTGGTTAGAATCAGAAAGAACTGTTAAGGCAAAGGATAATACAATGTTTTACAATATAGTATATTGGTAGACTAGGTAATTTTGGATACCTCCAAAAGGCCCTAGTACCCCCTGTGCCATCTGATCCACTCATTATTAAAAAGTAATAATCAGGTAAATAATCTTTATAATTCATAGACACATTTCTCTTTAAGCTCAATTTTGATAGCTTTGTAATCATTACCTGAAGCATCAATCAAGATGTTAATATAATTCAGGGACACTCCTCCATGGTACAATAACTCAATTTGAAATAATACTAAAGATAAAAGTTTTTACACTTAGCTAGTTTTTGGTTATATGGTGATTTTCGTAAAAAAAAAAAAATTCAGTTCACCAGTACTTCGAAATTTGGTGGAAAAACATGTTTTCTCCCGGAAACACCTGATCTGTTCTTTTCAAGTAAGAATTGTATTTCCTAGCTAAATGTAAGAATGCGGTTCCACCATTTAGTGTGTGATCCTTAGAAAAGCAATCTTTTAGCATGCTTTAAGGACTATTTAGAATTTTCTTTTTATTGAGAACTAATTTTAGGTCCAGAACATTGAATAGAAGATCTTTTGTCCAGTGGAAGGGAGAAATGACCTATTTTATTTTCAATTTTAAAAGTAGGAATAAAAATGTTGACCATAACTTTGCAGTGGTGTCTGCACTTGGTAATTTGCCTCCAACACCAACACCAAAGGGATTAGGTGGATTTTTCCTCCGTCGGCCACACACCGACTTGCCACACTTGTCTTTTCCCCTTTACTTGCTCAGGGGATTATGCAGTGGAGGTTAGCAAATCACATGTGCTGAGTCTACTTTTTTTAAGAATACAGAACCCACTTTTTTTCTGGCAAGGATACTGATTCCAGGGCACAGAATAGCCCCTTGTCCTCTGGGCTGTTAAACAGCTGGTCGTGGCCAGGCTTTGCCCAGTCATCATCCCTTTACTTGAAAATAACTGCATCCTGATTTGGCATTTCGTTTATTTCTTGATTTCTACCTATCATCTCTCTAACATGTTTCACTTGGCTGGATTCCTAACTATTCTGAGAATCTCTCTTCAAAAACACTTCCCCTCTCCAGCCCTTCTTAATTGACATCCTGATACCAGCTGATACGCTGCATTCTGGCTGAGCCCTCTGGGTTCTTCAGTGGGAAACAAATCATGAGGATTTCAGCACCTCATTTCCCTAAATAGTGATTTCTTTTTCTTTTTAGCCTTCTCATCATCTTAGAGAGATGTCACTGAGCTCATTGTTAGTAACTCATGAAATTACACCAAAGCAGGAGGAAAAGAAAGCCTGATTTTTGCTATTACACATACATACAACATAAGATATACTTATGTAATATATATATAGTGTCTTCTATATATATCTCCTAATGTATTGCATAGATAATGTGATATATGTAATATCTCCTAATTGGTTACACACACACACACAAATACGTATTAAATACATGCTAAATATATGCGCTATATATATATATATATATAAAATACATATATATGTACTCTAGGGAGGATAAGGAATTAATAAGTGGAAAACTGTTTAGTAAAATAAAGGGTTGGATTTTTTCCTGTAACTATGCAAGTTTATCAGAAATTCAAGCAATTTGCTCACATTTTGCATCTGTTTTGAAGTTTTTAAATGTAACTATATTAGTGATGATTTATTAAGAGATATTCATCATGATATTTTCCTCTGTATAAATTTGCACTGTTAGATTTTTAAAAGGAATATTTTCCCATCCCAAATCTAGCTGCTTTTAAGGAAATCTGTCCTGGTGGAATGGGTTATACGGTTTCTGGCGTTCATAGACGCAGGCCAATCCATCACCATGTAGGTAAAGGACCTGTATTTGTCAAGCCAAAGAACACTCAACTTGTTGCTAAAAGTACTCATCCTCCACCTCTCCCAGCCAAGGAAGAGCCAGTGGAGGCCCTGACCTTCTCCCAGGAACACGGGCCAGGAGTGGCGGAGCCTGAAGGTGAGAGTGGAAGTAGATCATGGACTCTGGCCATCTTTCTGTGTCTTTGCTTTGATTTCACTGTTTATACCCCTCTAGAAGAGGGCCTCTCAGCCTTGGCACTGCATTTTAGGGTGGATAATTCTTTGATTAGGGGTGGGGAAAGGCCCTGTATATTATAGGATGTTTAGCAGAATCTGTGGCCTTTAACCTCCCCCCTCCAGTTGTTACAAGCAAAAAAGATGTCCAAACATTGTAAATGTCCCCTGGGGAGCAAAATTACCCCTGATTGAGAACCACTGCTCTAGAATATTTGCCTGTCAGGTAACAATATTCCATGGTAGTTTCAGGACGTAGTATTGCTGTTTGGGAGCCACTTTTGCTTGGTCTTTATTCCTGCAAAATGGTTTAGATCCTTCAGGGAATAGCTCTAATTCATTTATTGTCTACAGAGCCATTTAATGAATATTTATTTACTTTATGTAAAGTGGAATCTAAAGATTTTAGAAAGTGATAGCATCAACTGAACTTTCATGAAATAGAATGTAATGTGCAGTCAGGGGTGAAGTAGGACCACGTGAGGAAGGTAGGAGACAGTCCGTTGAAAGGATCTGAGAGATCATCTCGTACGGTCTTTTTATTTACCTTCTGAGAACTTAAGACCTAGAGAGGGGGATGATTTGCCAGATGTCATACAAAGACTATGTAATGAGACCTGTGACAAAGAGCATGTTTTTCCAATGAAATGGTTAAGGCTTTATACTCAATAGGGAATATAAAGACAGTTGACTTCAACTATCTCTCTGGTACTCAGGAAGAGGGATTACCTCTGTCTCTGCCTCCTTATATAAACCAGCATATCTGATACTTGGAATATCTTGGTTACCACAAAAGTTCTCATCCCAGATAGAAGGAGCAACAATTTTAGATTTCTATGGAATATGTATTTACTGTAGTAAAGCTCCTGCTGGCTTTTCACAGTTGATTCTTAGGTCAGAATTCAGGGTACCCATACCTGGATCTTGTGAGGGGACAGGCTGCCCAGGCTAGTGAAATGTTAGCAGCTTGGCACAGCCAACTTTCTGGTAGGTAGGTTTTTTTTCTCTGGGTTCTGAACATTTGTGTGTTCTGGCCTATTTTATTCCACTCTTTCACTCACTGTACTTCTTCCTTGGTTAGGCAGAGCAGATAGGACCTCACCTGGAATTGACAGGATTGATCAGTTTGCTCCTGTACATTTAGGATGTCATGGCTAGATATTACACGTGTTCATCCTTTGCACCAGCAAGAGGAAATCGGCTCTGGTCCAGATTCTGCCCCAAGACTTTCTTGGTGGTGGGTTAGTTAGGCCGTACATTTAGGATGTCATGGCTAGATATTACACGTGTTCATCCTTTGCACCAGCAGGAGGAAATCGGCTCTGGTCCAGATTCTGCCCCAAGACTTTCTTGGTGGTGGGTTAGTTAGGCAGGATAGAAAGGTGGTTTACTTTCTGCAGCTATAAGATTATAATAGCAGTGATTATAATTTATCTGGTACCCTGAATGCTTTTATGAATTAATGAACCTACCCAACCTGTATACTAATGTTTATAGAGACATTAACTCATGAGAAGAATTCTGGTGAATGTTGACCCAAGGCTTGAGGGCTGTTACTAAGGACCAATTAATGAAAAGCAAGTCTTTGAAAATGCAAAAGCATCACCACCCACACAATAATGTTTATGATTGTGTAATATGTAATTTGTTCAGTATGTGGATGCTAATTTCTAGTTGGCTCTTATTGGCTTGTGAGATGTTTTTTCATAATTGGTTTGCATATCTTCCTGAAAACGTTAACAGAGCTTCATTAAAGACTGGAATACAACAAGAATGTAGCATCTATTCTCTTGCCTCTTATTGAAATAAGTGGGATTCTTTTTTGACATTGACAGCAGAAGGCATCTCAAACATTATATATTATGTTAAGGATATGTGTTGAACCAGTCAATGAAAATGTTTTCTGAGATGTGGGAAGTTCACAAAATTGAGATTAGGCATAAAATAATATACTGGAAAGTGTTGCTTTCTTTAACATTTTAGTTTATCTTAATCTTGAATGAAAGCATTTGAAAGAAGTATTCAGATCTGCTCCCAGAGCTCCTGTAGATTAGGAATGAGAGTGCTTTTCTTTCATGTGTAAAATTCCCCAGAGTGGCAGATGACCTTAATTCTGCATTTGATTTAGTTTGATTCTTAATCCTTTTGAAGGGATACTAGACTCCTATTTTTTTAAAAAACTGAAATATAATGGAATGAATTGTCTTATTAATGCCCTTCTTTCTTTTCTGGTTTTAGTGGCAACTGCACCCCCTGAAAAGGTAATTTATTCATTATTTATAATTGTATTTTTTTAACCTTCAAAATGATTTTCTATTAGAATACGTATGGACTTTTTTAGATTTAAATGCGGTAACATGTCTGCTATGCATCACTTGGTTTTCGGATATGTCGCATGCATTCATTCATGAAATATTTATTGAGTACCTGCTATGTGACTGGCCCTGTTCTCAGTGCTAGGGAAACAATAGAGAACAAATCAGACAAAACTCCTTACTTTCATGGAGCTTAAATTAATGGTGGGAACTAATGGGAATCAGCACTCATCAATGAGGAATTTGTTATATTGAGCCCAAAAGCAGTACAATAGAAATGCATGTTTTATGTGCACATTTGCAGCTGTTAGCATCTCTAAAGATCAGTGAGATACAGTAGTTTGCAATTTTGTTGATTTTGGATTCAGTTATGATTGATATATGGAAGGAGTCATTTTGCTTGTGAGTGGGCCAGCCAGCTGCCTGACAGCCTCATCACAACTCATTTCTTCTCTATTTATGATTGAGTTTATGGTAATTCTGATGAACAATCTGAAAGAGATATTGAGATTTTTCTTATATAGTTATACTGCACCTTATTTGGGGAGGAGGTAGTAGGAAGAATGCAATCATAGTCTTTGTGGTCTTGGTATAGGTCAAGGATCTTTCATTTGAAAATCCAAAATCCGAAATGCTCCAAAATCCAAAACTTTTTGAGTGCTGTCATGACGCTCAAAGGAAGGGCTCATTGGAGCATTTCAGATTTTGGATTTTTGGATTAGGTATATCCAGCTGGTGTATATTCTGCAAATATTTCAAAATCCAAAAAAATCTGAAATTCAAAACACTTCTGGTCCCAAGCATTTCATATAAGGGATACTCAACTTGCACCTTACAAAAGCCTCCTGGTATTAAAACTGGATGAAGAGAAAGGAGGATGGTTCAGTGGTGGGTAATTACATGTGCAAAGTGTGATGGAGGGGACATCAAGGGTCATGAAAGACTTGCTTAGAAAGAGAATAGGGGGCTGCTTCAGAAGACTTACTAAACTGCAGATGTAATCGTGGGGCAATGACCCTGCTCATCTGGACCCTACATGTCAAGTGGAGAAGTGGTGTTAATTAGGAAGTCTGCTTCCTCATGCTGTTGGGGAAAGTCTGTCTGTAAGCTGCAGGAGTGGATTCACACCTGGTCATGCTCTGCTTCTTGTTGGTGTTGACCACGGGCTGCGGGGAATGGGGTGCAGACGAGACTGGTTGAAGTCATCTCTAATGCGTAATAGAAAGCCAACCTGTGTTCTTAAGAAGAGGGGAAAATGTGGGAAAAAGTAGTAAGTGCTCAGTATTTCTGGAAGATGAATTGTGGCAGGATGGACTGAGGTGGGGAGAAAGAGGAAACCTGAGAGGCCAATTTGATTATTGCAATAAACTGAGAATGACAGAGCGTGTGCAGAGTGGGCTGATGGTGGGGCTGTAGATGTTGAAAGGGGTGAAACTATAAGGAATTGTGCATGCAAGTGGGCAGAGCTTGGAATGAGGAATGAAAGAGAGAAGACTAAAAAGTGGCGTTAAACCTGGATGGCATTGTTTTATGACTATGGCCTTGGCAGAAATGAGGAAGTTGGAATGAGAACCTGGATGGTTTGGGAGCGGGTGCAGTTTTGCGGTGTCTGTGGAATATCTAATGGAGTTATGCTGTAAGCATTCACGCTTGCAAAATTGGGTCTTTGATGAAATATTCAGGCAGGCTATCTATTATAGAAAAAGCAAAAAAAAAAAAAAAAAAAAAAAAAAAAAAGCCAGGAGAGAGGATAGGAGGTTAGCAGAAGCCAGGGGAGTAAGCTTTCTGGAAGATGATGGTGACCGTCACTCGATGTATACTTTTATGTAGTGATATGAGCTCTTCGCCCTGCACTGGTGAGGGTGAAGTCACAGACCATTAACTAGACAACTACACTGATTGTTTCGTCTGCATGAGCCCTAAAGAGCTGCACATGGAAGCTGAGCTGTGGGTGATGGGCTGTGTCTTTGCTTGAGGTCCAAGGGACAAGAGTGGACAGCAGGATGTATGAAGAAGCCCAGAATTTTCCTCCAAGACCACGACCTTCAGTTGCGCTGCCTGACTGCAGCTGTCAGAGAGCTAGAATTGCGAAGTTATTAGACATGAGGTTACAGGAGGCCATCACGACTGACTGATTTAAAATATTTTAGCTTATCATGTGTTCTTTGTTATGACACATCTGCTGTATCCATTATTTACTTGCAAAGCGTGGTTGGACATCTTAGTGGAGCAAAGCCATATGAATGAGGTGAAGGGTTAGTACTCCTTTGGGGTTAGTTTTTCCCTTTTGCAGACCAGGTGTGGATCCCTGGACCAAGGTGTTTTTTACCTAAAAGGTTTAAATTTGGGCCCCAAGGAAATGGGTGAGGGTGTGTGCGTGGATCAGCACTGCCGTAGTAATATCACAATAGTTTTTTTTTTTAACTTCACGCAATTTTTTATCTAATGTCTTGCGATATTTCCTTGCATTTCTAAGAGTATAATTAATTAAATAAAAAATAGTAGTATGTAGGTAACTAAAAATAATACTCACTTTCAATTTCTCTCTCTCTAATACAACCATCCAGGAAATACCTTCACTGGATCAAGAGAAAACCAGACTTGAGCCTGGTCAACCCCAGCTCTCTCCAGGCATTTCAACTATTCATCTGCATCCACAGTTTCCAGGTAGCCTGTGTTGATTTGTGCTGTTTGTAAGAGTATTCTGAATAAAAGCTTAGGATTGGAATTTTTTTGTCTTTGATTTTGTTTAATACACAATTAGAATTTATAATTGGAGTTAAGTGTGAAAAATACACACCTAAGTATGTATTTCTATAATGTTAATGTAAGTATGATATTATAAGTGAAATGGGAAGGAAATGTTTTTCACTATTTTCTGTGATCAAGAGTAGTGTGTATTATTTGAACTTTACAGAAGGTCATCTTTTGATGAATGGTCATTTTTCTTGGCTTCTGAATGGTACTCACTCTTGCTAAATATTGAAAAAAGAGCTGTAAATTACTACCATGAACTTTCAGGACCTATAACAGTTCTTTATTTCCAAGAACTGCTGTGATATATTATTACAGTAAATTATGCTTGCGTCTTTAAAATTTTATTTATTTATTTATTTTTGTTTTATCATTACACATTGTAAAGATTTTTTTGTGGCCCTTTACCAATTGCTCGTTAGCACCCTTCCCCCTTTCCCGCCTCTGCTAGCCTCAGTTATGTTCTCTCCTTTTGAAAGTTCAAAGAATTACTGTGACTGTTGTTTCTTTCTCTTCTTTCTTTCTTTTCTTTTTTTCCCCATCTCCCACTTATGAGTGAGGACATGTGGTATTTCTCTTTCCATGCTTGGCTTATTTCAGTTAACATAATTTTCTCTAAATTTGTCCATGTTGCTGCGAATGGCAGAATTTCATTCCTTCTTATGTCAGAGTAGTATTCCATTATGTATATATAGCACATTTTCCTTATCGAGTTGTCCATTGATGGACATTTAGGCTGGTTTCATATCTTGGCTATTGTAAATAGAACTGCAAGAAACATGGGAGTGCAGGTATCCCTTTGGCATAATGACTTCCATTCCTTTGGTATACACCCAGTAGTGGGGTTGCTAGATGGTATGTCAGTTCTATCTGTAGTTGTTTGAGGAACATCCATACTGTTTTCTATAATGGCTGCACTAATTTATAGTCCTACCATCAGGGTGAGTTCCTCTTTCTCCACATCCTCAACAGCATTTGTTCTCTTTTTGATACTGGCCAGTCTAACTGGGGTGAAATGATGTCTCAATGTGGTTTTGATTTTCATTTCCCTGATGCTCATTGATGTTGGGCATTTTTTCATGTGCCTATTGGCCATTTGTATATTTTCCTTTGAGAAATACCTGTTTGACTCCTTTGCCCATTTTTTAATTCGGTTTCTTTCTTTTTTCTTTTTCTTTTTTTACTGTTAAATTATTTGAGTTCCTTGTGTATTCTGGATATTAATCCCATGTTGGATACATAGTTTGCAAATATTTTCTGCCATTCTGTAGGTTGTCTTTTTGCTCTGTTAACTGTTTCATTTGCTATGCAGAAGCTTTTTAGTGTGATATAATCCCATTTGTTTATTTTTCTCTTTTTTGCCTATGCTTTTGGGGTCTTATTCATAAAGTCTTTGTCCAGTCCTACTTCCTGAAGTGTTTCCCTATGTTTTCTTTTAGTAATTTTATAGTTTTGGGTCCTTTTTTTAAAAAGATGACCGGTAAGGGGATCTTAACCCTTGACTTGGTGGTGTCAGCACCACGCTCACCCAGTGAGCAAACCGGTCATTTTTTTTTTAAAAGATGACCGGTAAGGGGATCTTAACCCTTGACTTGGTGGTGTCAGCACCACGCTCACCCAGTGAGCAAACCGGTCATCCCTATATGGGATCCGAACCCGTGGCCTTGGTGTTATCAGCACCACACTCTCCCGAGTGAGCCACGGGCCGGCCCATAGTTTTGGGTCTTCATATAAGTCTTTAATCCATTTTGAGTTGATTTTGGTATATGGTGAGAGGTGCAGGTCTAGTTTCACTCTTCTGCATCTGGATGTCCAGTTTTCCCAGCACTGCTTCGTGGAGAGGCCATCCTTTCCAATGTGTGCTCCTGTTGCCTTTGTCAAATATCAGTTGGCTCTCACTATGTGGGCTGATTTCTGGGTTCTCTGTTCTGTTCCGTAGGTCTGAGTGTCTGTTTTTATGGCAGGACCATTACTATAGCTTTGTAGTATAATTTGAAGTCAGGTAGTGTAATGCTTCTGGCTGCATTTTTTTTGCTCAGGATTGCTTTGGCTATTTGGGGTCTTTTGTTGTTTCATGTGAATGTTAGGATTGTTTATTCTGTTTCTGTGAAGAATGTCATTGGTATTTTGATGGGGATTGCAGTGAATCTGTAGGTCATTTTGGGTAGTATGAACATTTTCACAACGTTGATTTTTCCAATCCAAGAGCATGGAATGTCTTTTCATCTTTTTGTGTTCTCTTTAATTTTTTTCAGCAGTGATTTGTAGTTCTCATTGTAGAGATAATTGATGCCTAGGTATTTTATTTTTTTTTTTTTGGTGACTATTGTAAATGCCTTGCTTCCTTGATTTCTTTTTCTGCTAGTTCATTATTAGAGTGTAAAAAAGCTACTGATTATTGTGTGTTGATTTTGTATCCTGAAACTTTACTGAAATTGTTTATCAGCGCTAAGAGTTTTTTGGTAGAGTCTTTAGGTTCTTCTATATATAGGATCATGTCATCTGCAAACAGGAGCATTTTGACTTCATCTTTTCCAATCTGGATGCTCTTTTTTTCTTTGTCTTGCTTGCTTGCTCTGGGTAGTACATCCAATACTATGTTATGTATGAGTGGTGAGAGTGGGTAGCCTTTTCTTGTTCCCATTCTTATCAGGTTGATATTGGCAGTGGGTTTGTCAAATATTGCTTTTATTTTGCTGAGATACTTTCCTTTGCTACCTAATTTGCTGAGAGTCTATCCTGAAGGGATGTTGAATTTTGTCAAGTGCTTTTCCTGCATCTATTAAGATAATCATATGGTTTTTGTCATTGACTTTGTTGATGTGGTGTATCACATTTATTCACTTCTGTATGTTGAATACCACTTAATCGTGGTGTATACTTTTTTTGATGTGTTGCTGTATTCTGATTGCTAATATTTTGTTGAGGTTTTTTTTGCATCTATGTTCGTCAGAGATATTGGCCTGTAGTTTTCTTTTTTTGTTGTGTCTGATTGCTAATATTTTGTTGAGGTTTTTTTTTGCATCTATGTTCGTCAGAGATATTGGCCTGTAGTTTTCTTTTTTTGTTGTGTCTTTGTCTGGTTTTGTTACCAGGGTGATGCTGGCCTCATAGAATGAGTTTGTCTGGTTTTGTTACCAGGGTGATGCTGGCCTCATAGAATGAGTTTGGGAGAATGGCTTCTGTTTCCATTTTTTGGAATAGTTTGAAGAGAATTGGTAATAATTCCTTTTTGGAGGGCTGGTAGAATACAGCAGTAAAGCCATCTGGTCGTGGGGTTTTCTTTGTTAGGAGAGTGCTGATTACTGCTTCAATCTTGTTGCTCGTTATTGGTCTGTTCAGGTTTTCTGTTTTTTCTTGGTTCATTCTTGGTAGTTTGTTCATGTCCAGAAATTTATCCATTTCCTCCAGGTTTTCAAATTTGCTGGCATATAGTTGTTTCTAATAGTCTCTAATGATTCTTTGTATTTCAGTGGTATCGGTTGTGATGTCTCCTTTTTCACTTTTTATTTTTGTTATTTGTGTCTTCTCTCTTCTTTTTTTAGTTAGCCTAGCTAATGGCTTATCTGTTTTGTTTATTATCTCAAAAAATGAACTTTTTATTTCATTGATCTTTTGTATTGTTTTGGGGGGTCTTTATTTCAGTTAGTTCTTCTCTGATCTTAATTGTTTCTTTCTGTCTACTAATTTGGGGATTGAATTGTTCTTGTTTTTCTAGTTCTTTGAGGTAAAGCATTAAGTTGTTTATTTGAAATCTTTCTATTCTTTTGATGTAAACATTTATTTCAATAAACTTCCATCCTAGTATTGCTTTTGCAGTATCCCACAAGTTTTGGTATGATGTGTCTTTATTTTCATTAGTTTTAAGAAACTTTTTGATTTCTGTTAATTTCTTCTTGGACCCATAGGTCATTCATGAGCATATTGTTTAATTTCCATGTATTTGTATAGTTTCCTGAATTTTGCTCAAGGAGTAATTTCAGTTTTTTAAAATTTGAAACTTGATTTGTGACCTAAAATCTGGTCTATCCTGAAGAATGTACCTTGTGCTGATGAGAAGAATGCATATTCTGTAATTGTTGGATAAAATGTTCTGTAGATATCTGCCAGGTCCAATTGGTATAAAGTGTAGTTTAAATCCTTTGTTTCTCTGTTGATTTGTTGCCTAGATGATCTGTCAAGTGCTGAGAGATGGATGTTCAGGTTCTCTACTATTATTATATTGGGGTCTATCTCTTTCTTTCGTCTTAATAGTGTTTCCTGTATGTATTAGGTGGTCCAGTGTTGGGTGCATATATATTTATGATTGTTATGTCTTCTTGCCAGATAGATCCCTTTATCATTATGTACTGGCCTTATTTGTCTCTTTTTAGGTTTTTGCCTTAAAGTCTATTTTATCTGATTTAAGAAGAGCTACTTCTGCTTGTTTTTGTTTTCCATTTGCATGTTATATCTTCTTCCATCCCTTCACTATTAGTCTGTGTGTGTTTTTACAGGTGAGCTGAGTCTCTTGAAGACAGCATATAGTTGGGTCTAGCTTTTTAATCCAATTTGTGAGTCTGTGTCTTTTGAGTGAAGAGTTTAATCTATTTACATTTATCATTGTTATTGAATGAATTGTCTTACTCCTGGCATTTTATTGATTTTTGTTTAGACGTTTTAAATATCTGTTGTTTCTTTCTTCCTCTTTTCTGTTTGTCTGATGTTTGTTGGTTTTTTGAGTTGGTAAGATTTAGTTTCTTTTTCTTTCTCATTTGCATTTTTGTTCTACCAGTGGATTTTGTTCTTTCTCATGTATTTGTGTTAGTGATTATTGTTTTTCTGATTCCAGATTCAGGACTACCTTGAGGATTTGTCGTTGGGCTGGTTTTGTGGTTTCTGAAGGATAGCCTTCATGGGTATAATATTCTTGGCTGGCAGTTATTTTCTTTTAGTATTTTGAATATGTCATCCCATTTTTTTCTGGCCTGTAGAGTTTCTGTTGAGAACTCTGCTGTTAGTCTGATGACGATTCCCTTATAGGTGACTTTTCTCTTGCTGATTTTAGGATTCTCTTTGTCATTTAGCTTTGCCAGTTTGGCTATAATGTGTCTTGAAGAGGATCTTTTTGGACTGGATATGTTTTGGTAGCTTTAAGCCTCCTGGATCTGAAGTTCTGTATCTCTCCCTATACCTGAGAAGTTTTCCATTATTATTTCATTGAATAGGTTTTCAATGCCTTTTTCTTTCTCTTCCTCTTCTGTGACACCCTGATTTGAATGTTTGTGTGCTTAATGTTGTCTGATAACTCTCTTAGATTTTCTTCATTTAAAAATTTTTTTTTCCTTTTTTTTTTGTCTGCGTGGGTATTTTGAAAAAAGTATAATCAAGATGAGAAATTCTTTCTTCCATTTGTTCTAACCTAATGCTTACGCTATCAGTTGTGTTTTTTATTTCATTGAATGAATCTTTCTGTTCCATGAATTGTGCTCCATTTTTTTTTTAAAGTATTAATCTCTTTGTAAGTTTCCTCCTTCATATCCTGGATTTCTTTTCTCATTTTATTATGTTGTCTAACTGAATCTTCTTGTATTTCATTGTGTTTCCTTAAGATGGTTGCTTGGAATTCCATTTTAGTCATTTCAAGGGTTTCTTGCTCTATAGGGTCTGGTATTTGAGAATTACTATGTTCTTTTGGTGGTTTCTTATTTTCAGGGTTTCATGTGTTCCTATTATTTGTATGTTGATGTCTGGTCATCTGGTGGAGCAGTTGCTTCTTCTACTCTGGAGTGGGCTTTAAGGAGAAAGACTTCCTTTTCTTTTTCCAGTTTCTCCTGGTTATTATCCTTGTGTCAATGTAGTCAAGTGGCAGCAGTCCACCTGAACAGTGGCTATGGTTGCTACCGTGGTGGAAGGATGCTTTTGTGACAGCCATGGGTGTGGCTGTGGTTGTGTGGTGTTTTCAACATCCTCCTGCTTTCTGCTGGGCAGGGGGTGCTGCCCATGGCTCCTGCCTAGGATTCCATGAATGTTCCTGCCTTCTCTTGGGCAGTGGGGGCTGCTCACAGCTTCTGCTTAGGACCTTGTGTGTGTTTCTCCCTTTTGTTGGGCAGTGGGAGTTTCCACATCTCCTGCCTAGGACCCTGTGCATGCTCCTGCCTTCTCTCTGCTTGCATTTTCAAATGGGATCTCAGTGCACATAACAAGCTTTCCTTTTTTTTTTTTATCTCTTCCTTATGTAGTAGTGATTGAAAAGACATCACCTCCTGTGCCTGTAGAAGTAGCTCCTGAAGTGTCTACATCAAGTGCCAACCAAGTGATTGCACCTACTCAAGTAACAGGTTGGTGCAGTATTTGTTTTTTTATATATCCTGCAGAAGAGAGGTGGGTCTGAACCTCATTTTAAATTTAGTATCAAATATAGAGGGTGCTTCAAAAAGTTTGTGGAAAATAGAATTAGAAACATAATACAAACCTTTCCATGAACTTTTTGAAGTACCCTTGTATAAGATCGCTCATGGCAGGGTTAGTCATAATAGTCAATATTTGGAAATAATCTAGATATTGTTAAAAAGGAAACATAATACAAACCTTTCCATGAACTTTTTGAAGTACCCTTGTATAAGATTGCTCATGGCAGGGTTAGTCATAATAGTCAATATTTGGAAATAATCTAGATATTGTTAAAAAGGAGTATGTGTTAATAAATTATAGTACATATGCAATTGAATATCATATAGTTATTATAGCAATCTTTTAATGGAGTACATAAAGTCATGAAGTTCTTATGGCATAATATTTGTTAAGGAATAAAGAATACAATCTAATGATTCCAATTTAATTTTTTAAATGTCTACAAACACAGAAAAGGAGACAGAAAATACATCAGAGTATTCACCTATCACTAGTTAATAGGATCATGGATGATCTTTATGTTCTTCAACATATTTGTATGTATTTTCAAAATTCTTTATTATAAATGTATTTTATTTGAAAAAAATATAAAAATGTATTATATTTGGAAACATGTAAAAGCCTAAATGTTAATATTCTTAATGTATAATGAATTCTTATAAATCAATAAGAAAAATACAATAGAGAAATGGGAAAATAATATAATTAGATAATTCATAGAAAAAAACAATACCGAGGAGCATATAATAGGAAATTTCAACTCTAATATTAATCAGAGAAATGCAAATTAAAATAGAATAATACTTTATTCTTATCAAATTAGTATTTAAAACCCAATAATACTTTTTATTAGGAAGGAATTGAGATTCTCACACATTGCTGAAAGGAGTATATATTAGGGTTCTCCAGAGAAACAGAACCAAAGATATAGACATATAGAAAGAGTTTTGTTGTGAGGGATTGGCTGACGTGATTCTGAAGGCTAAGTCATACAATCTGCCATCTGCTAGCCAGAGTCCCAGGAAAGCTAGTGATGTGGTTCCAGTCCAAGCCTGAAGGCCTGAGAACCAGGAGAGCCAGTAGTATAAGTCCCAATCTGAATTTGAAGGCCTGAGAAGCAGGAATGCTGATGTCCCAGGGCAGGGGAAGATGGAAGTCCCAGCTCAAGCAGAGAGCGAGCTTGCCTGCCTCTGCCTTTGTGTTCTGTTTGGGCCCATTCCTCAACGGATAGGATGATGCCCACCCACACTGATGAGGGTGATCTGCTTTACTCAGTCTACCAATTCAAATGCTAATTTCTTTTGCAGGCACCCTCCTAGACCCACATAGAAGTAATGTTTTTCTAGCTATTTGGGCATCCTTTAGCCCAATCAAATTGGCTCATAAAATTAACCATCACAGAGTGAAAACTGGTACAGCTTTTCCGGAAAGCACAAACTGGCAATGTGTAAATAGTTTTAAAAAAATACTTAAAAAGTTCACAGTACTTTAAAAATATTCAGAACTTTTGACCCAGTAATCCTGTTTCACAATAACTTGTGTAAGGAAATGATGTACCCAAAGACTGTGATAATGATTTATAAAAACGATTCCTTATCACAGCACAATGTATAATAGAGAAAAAAATAGAAATAATCTAAACATTCAACTATAGGGAAATAGATAATTATCTTACATCTATACATTGAAACATATGTTGCCACCAAAATAGTATTTTTGAAGAAGTTTTATTGAAATCTGGTCGGAAATGGTCATAAAATATTGGTAAATTTAAGATGAAGGATATGAAAAAATGAAGGATACAGATTATTATACCAATCATATTCAAAAAGATATATATACACTGAGAAAATGCTGGAAGAAGTTATACTAGATATTATCAGTGATTATTTTTTTGTAATGGGACCTGAGAGGTTTAGGTGTTTTGTTTTGTTTTAGAATTTTTTGTATTTTCCACCTATTGTAAAGTGGACAGATATTTTTAAATTCAGAAAAAAATGTTACTAAGAGGCATCGTATAAACTTTAAGTCCATTATACCATCGGAGGATGAAGTTGGCAATAACAGGAGTAGCTAATAGAAGAGTTCACAGCCTTCCTTAGAATATTCCCTCTTTGGGCACATGATATGCTTCTTTTCAAGTGGATGTATTCTTGCTTGTTAATCTTTTAGCCACTTTCTCATAAGTGTGGATGTACATTCTCTTAGATATTTGAATGGAGACAGCCAATTAGAGAGTGTTTAAGAAGCACCTCTGTCCCCGGTGAGATGCCAGGTGACTAAGGAGTGCAGAGGCGCGCTGTGGACTCAGCAGTGCATTTTCAGCTAGTTCAGAGACAGAGTCAAGACCCACCTGCCCAGAGCCACAGCCCTCCCCACACTACTGCATGACAACCACTCTTTGGTTTTACTGTTAATACTGGGGAAAATGAAACAGAAATGTTAGTAATTCTAAGTATTTGGGAGATGATACAATGAAATGATAGTGGTTTTTAAAAATGGCCATGGCTAAAATTGTTATTCTGTATCTGAGGTCATATATATATTAGACACATCTATGAGACTGCTTTGCACTGCAAGGTGTACAAGCATGTAATATGCTATCGTGGTCAGCAAGCATCTTCTCATTATTTACCTCCACGTTGAAAATTGTAGAGTGACAATGTTAATTCACTGGTTCTTTTTAAATACTGTGTTTCCATTTTCCAATGTGAAGGTAAACTTTAGTTTTGAATGGGCTTGGCTGACTTTAATGGATAAACCTCTTGCAAACTAGCTTTATAGAGATTAAGTTTGGCTAGATAAAAGCAGTTTTGTCATTGAAGTGAAGCTGTATTCAGAATAACAAATTGAAATTACTCAGCTTCAAGTGAATTACAGAGTTGATTGAAAAAAATAGAAGTAGCCCAGCTATATGAGGTTGTTTGTTAGAAGACAGTTTAATTTGAGTTTGGCAGAAATACAGGGCTAACATCTTCTATCACATGTTTGAAGCACGAATATTTTCTTCCAGGAAATAAGTGATGCTGAATTTTCTTTTTCTTTTTCTTTTCTTTTTTTTTTTCATCAGTTGTAGGTATTCCTACTTCCTATAGTAGAGTCTTTCAGAAAGAATCTATGGGGCGAACATTATAGAGTCTTTGAATTGAAAATGTTTGCAACTTTAGAGCTATTCCATATAGAGTGATCTACATAGTACAAGAAGACTGTTTTCTATCAAATTTGAATTAAATCAAAATGTAGATATTACCATTGGTTTGATATGAGGACCAAACACATAGATTTAAGGAACAGTCTGATCAGTTCTCTCATAATTTTTTTTATAAAACACGCAGGAGATTGTTATTTGTTAGTGTTAGTTCTCCCATAGTTGAAGAAAGGGGTAGAATAGTAACTAAGTGTCTAAATTAAATATGATCAGCTCCACATTGCTTGGCGATGATATCTTTATGATGGTGTGATTGGAAGTAGCCTTTTCAGATTTAGCCAAACATACTTTGACATGTAATAATTATAACTTGAGCTGCATATTTGCAGGCAATCAGTGTGATATTTTCCTCTTAATGGCTGACTTGGTGGCTTGCAACATTATTGGCATACCGTTTCTGAATAAATTATACATTTCATCATATAAATTCTTGATTAAGCGTAGTGTGTTAATAGCTGAAAGAACAGGTTGGAAAATCAAACCTTTACTTCTCTGTCAAATATTTACAAAGTGGAAACATCTGTTTCAATGGTTGTGGGACAATTTATACTCATTGTGGGTCAGTTAGGAAGCCTCGGCACTTTTGTTAACCTTTCTGTACGTTAATGTTTGATGCTTTCCTCAGGCTTTTCCTGAACTTTCTCCATGGCCCTTGCAGACCATCCAGAAATTATTCTTTGACTTCCATGACTGTCTTGCAGAAATCTTTGTAATTATGGCCTAACCATTTAAAAAACTATTTGCTCATCAGGTATTTTCCAGAACTCAGAATTTACCCTTTCAGAAACATTTGTGTCTCAAACATATTACCAGCATCATTATACCCTCAATAAACTATGCATGCTGATGGAAAATGAACTCTTTTGTTCATGTGAAATCAGCATGCTTTAATATTTCCAAACTCCATTTAGTTATTTATTTTTTGCATAATCACATGATGAAGAAAAAAGCTAAAGGTCAACATACTCATTTTCATATGTTGCTGAAAGCTTTGTTTTTCATTTACTTTTAGACAATATAATAAAGATTCCAAACTGTTAAATCCACCCTTGACCTTGTTGCTGGGATAAAAAGAGCATTTGGTTTTCCACTGGTATTTGGTCATGGCTCTTTTTCCAAATTCTACACGGACACTAGCAAAAGAGATAACATAAGATCCTTGACCTGGTGAAGGTGAAGTTGTTTTAGGGGGTACATACAGTAAGAAAGGGTAGGGCTGTCCTGGGAACCAATGGGGCAGGTGGGTAGGCATTACGAAGGACACGTGAAAGCTCTTGCTTAATCCTGTCTCTGGGAAGCCAGACGTGCTGACGACCAGGCATTCCCATTCACCCGTGTACCCCTGAGACCAGTAATCAGTGCTGTCTGTGTGAGGTTTTCCTGCTATGGTGTATCAGAGCCCTGTATCCAGAGCTTATATTTGCACAGTCTGCTCAAAGAAATGTACGTTTCCATACGAACCAGTCCATTCTGTGCGAAAAGGGTCACATGACTGTGTGAGTGACCCCTTACAAAAAATATAAAGCATAATGTCTTTGCCCTAAAAAACAGAAAAAGTAGAAAGCTTTTCCTACTCTTCTTGAAGACAACATTCTCAGGACTTGCCTTTCTGTTTGTAGTATATGTGTTTAAGAGTGAAAATGTAATAGAAAAGGAGAAAAAGCACAGAGATGGTGGGAGACATGTTTTAAAACTTGTAAAATATGAGTACTGCTAATTTATTTTTTGCCTTAAAAAATCTGATGTTGGTTAACTTTTTGGTGACTGGTGAATAGAAAGCAGAGGTGTTTTATGGCTCTTTTCTGTCTACCTAGAAGAAGAGTTGAGTCCTACCTGGCAAAAGGATGAAAGGGATCTCTGTGGTCAGACTGATGAAAGTCATGTTCATTAATCACTTGTGTGAATATGGGACCATGTAGAAATCAAGTTTGTTTTAGGAAATATTCTTTCCCTCATCTGATGTATCTCTTAGTACCCTCTAGTGGTGTCAGCATAGCATTTTCTCACATATATTTAGTGCCCGGCCTGCCAGGATCAGCATTTTTAAGCTGCATCTTTACATACTTAAGAATCTCTACATACTTAATCGGTGAGGTAGTCAGCTGGCAATCCCCAAACATCTTCATCAATGTAATTTCAGTCACATAGCTTTTCTTGAAGATACTGGATTGAAAGGAAAGGCCATTATTATTTACTTCATTTCCTGAAACTAAAGAGTTATAATTCTTAACTATTTCCCCCACCTTAGAGCTGACTTGAGAAGAAACAATTTAAATATGTTGGCAAACTGTGGCATAGGAATGTATCTCATTTGAATTAAGCATCACATATTTTTGAAGACTTTTGCTCACATGTATAAAATCCCATTCTAAAGCTATGCCTATAAAACGACAAATGAATAGTTGGATAATCAACAAATTGGTATATGTGGAAGTGGGGCAGTGACTACTCCTCAAGAGTTTAATGAAAACCCTGATTTATAGCCTTTTAATTTGTTCTGAATCCTTGCTCCTAGTATGTTAATTCATCTTTTAATTAATTCATATTCTTTTGCAAATATGGCCAACATGTCTTTTCTGTTTTTAAAAAATCGCAGAGAAAAGTATAAAGGAAGGTCAGTAATTACAAAGAAAACCAAGAAATGTAAATACCAGTAATTTTCAAAGAGGCATTTATCTAATATAGAATAGTTAGTTAGAGAAATGTTCCTCACTCTATTCCACTAAAAAAAAAAAAAAAAAAAAAAAAAGCTGTACTATCTCCACTACAGCATTATACCTCCTTACGAAAGTCACTGAAAATAGAAAATCTTTGGGGAGTAATTCATCTCATAGGCCACTTTTGAGTCCTTGGATGCTTTTGGTAATATTTTGATAGCCTCCACCCACCATGGAGCCCTGTGACCCAGCCCCCACCATAGTGTGTGTCTGTGAGCAGAGTAAGGACTTGAACAGGGTTAATCTGCGTGGGTTTTATAGAAGCAGCATATCTCACACAAGGATCAGTGGGAGAGTAAGGGAGGAGTTCAGCAGAGAAGATTTGGAAGATTCTACTTGACCAGTATAAATAAAATATGCTGATGTTGAAATTGGCAAATTGAGAGTAAGAAACACCTAGAAGTTTTACTTTGGTTATGTAAGTGGTAGGTCTTTCTTGAAGATTAATGAGAAATTTTGGAGGAGATTAGAACGTATTTGTTGAAACTCAAATTTGGCCTCCTAATGAATTGAAAGTTACCATATATTTCTTATCAGGAGAAATCACCTGATGATTCATACTCCATCATCTAAGACAACTGGAGTGGGTGGAAACTTACCGATAGGCTATGTTGGAAGTTGTTATATAAAAAATGGATTTTCTTTTCACTCCCAACATGGCCTCTTTCTGAGTTTCTGCTTACTCCAGTTCATCTTAGAAATGGTTTCTTTAGGAACTATTGATGACCTTGGGTGGGACTAACTAATCAATTATAAAGTAATCACATGAATTTATACTTGATTTCAGAGGTCACCTTTGTCTTCTAAGTGCTTATTACCTGGCAATAATTTTTAGCTAGTCAGGAAACATAAAGTAGTGGTTTGCAAATAGTAATGAAATCTTTATGCTTATTTCTGTGTTTTTTCATATTATTTTATTTACTTTTAAGAAATCAATGAGTGTACTGTGAACCCCGACATCTGTGGAGCAGGACACTGCATTAACCTGCCGGTGAGGTATACCTGTATATGCTACGAGGGTTACAAGTTCAGTGAACAACAGAGGAAATGTGTTGGTAAGAGACACTTTTGATAGACAGGATTATAAAATATCAAATATTTGCACATTTAGAACTTTTTTTTCTTAAATCAATTTAACCATCTTGGGAAAATGTTACTGTGTTTAATTTTCAGAAATTTTTATTCCTCAGCTAAGGGAGCTCAAAAAAAGGTTTGCTGAACTCCTGGGATTTTTTTACTTCTTTGTTCAGTGCTACCTACTTTGCCAAATGTAGTACATTTGCATTGAAATAATTTCTAAAAATTTTTCAAATAATGTAAATAAAATAACAGCTCTAGAAATAGCTACCTACAAACATGTATTTAGCAAAAACAAATTAATATTAATATATGCTGTAGTAAAGAATTGTATTCCTCTAAGAATATAAAATCTGATTTCTAAAAGGGATTTCTAAATTGAAAATCCATATAGGCTGGCATGAATTTATAATGAATTTATAAATAAGGGATCTCATATCTGCTTCTTCGGAAAAAATGTATCTCAGAAAGAGGTGTAACAGAGTTAAGTAAATTATTTTAATGTGCTAACTCTATATTTAATTTCTCTTTGTTTAGAAAAAGAAAATTTAGCACTAAGTTATAGGGCCAATATAAGGCAACAAAGGCGCATATCTAGTTAATACTACTTTAATATGTGTAAATATTGCTATTTGGTTCTGTGTTGTGTGCGGAGCAAGGAGAATATCCACCTGCTCCATAAGGTGGTATTTCCCTTTCATTTGCCTGCTGTACGGCCAACCCTTTCATTTGCATACATTGTATGTATTCACAATCAGACCGTAAACTATTAAATTGAAAAGGCACAGAGGTGATGTAATCTAGCTCCACCCCTGTACACAGTGGAAGAAACTCTTTGATGGCATTTCTGGCCGTCCCTGCTGACAGCGAATTCTAGTGTGTGGATGACTTTTTGTTTTAGCTTTTGAAGAAATGCACAATAAGCTTTTTCCCTCTGCTAGTTAACAGTCCTTCAAATATTTGAGGAGAAAGATTGTGTCTCTTTTTACTATTGTTCTCAGTTACAAAGGTTTGTGTAGTACCCCCCTGGGGCATGGTATGATGGGACTTTACACAACAGGGAGACTGAGTTCTTGCTACATTGCACTAATCTTTTTATATGTATTTTTGTTAACAGATGTTGATGAATGTACTCAGGTCCAACACCTCTGTTCCCAGGGACGCTGTGAAAACACAGAGGGAAGTTTCCTGTGTATTTGCCCAGCAGGATTTATGGCCAGTGAGGAGGGTACTGACTGCATAGGTAATGTCAGCGTTCTTTCTGACATATATGTTGTCCGATCTGGGGTTTTAGATTTTGCCAAGATCCCATCAGTTCAGTGCTTATTCAGGCAACCCAGAATTTTTTTATTAAATACCTGTTAAGTCATAGCAACTTGCTAGATACTGGGGGATATAAAAATGTTTTTAGATTTTGCCAAGATCCCATCAGTTCAGTGCTTATTCAGGCAACCCAGAATTTTTTTTATTAAATACCTGTTAAGTCATAGCAACTTGCTAGATACTGGGGGATATAAAAATGGATTTTTTTCCTCCAACACTTTTGAAGGAAGAGTATCAAATGTGTGCCAAGACAAGATGCATTCAGTGTTACTTTGGGACCCTGCGTGAATCCAAAGCTATGAGATTTTGAAGTGTGTTGAACAAATCAAAGGGATGATAATAGAAATCAGTTACTCCAATTATCAAATTGGAGCTAAGCTGGGAGGTGGGAGAGGTTTGAAGTGATATTCTGGAAAATAAAACTTGACAATGTTTTCTGCTTCACGCAGATGTCGACGAGTGCCTGAGGCCGGACATGTGTGGGGAAGGGCACTGTGTCAATACCGTGGGGGCCTTTCGGTGTGAATACTGTGACAGTGGCTACCGCATGACCCGCAGAGGCCGTTGTGAGGGTGAGTGCTGAGAGAACAAGAAGATCGTGCCACCTGGAAGTGCCAAGCACGTGTGACTGTGAAATTCAGGGATGGGTCTAGACCCCGGGACTTGTCAGCATCTTGCCTGGGTCTTGTTTTCTGCCACCACTCTGTGCATGACACCAGCCTCTCCGAGCTCTTCCTGCTTTTTGGAGTCACAGCTCCTTGCCTCAGTACAGCGACTCTGTCTGGATTATTTTCCATCTTCATGCTCATTCATTTTCACCTCAATATCTGCCTTCCCTGGAATTTGCAGTGAAATCACTTTAGAACAATTAATTGCAGAGTGTCTTAGTTCAAACCCAGACTTAATTACAGAGTCTGGATTATTCTTCTGGGAACATGGTGCAGGTGTAACCAGTGGTGACTTTTTGTTTTTGACCTTTCACCTTGTTACATAACTTTGTCTCAACTGTTTTCGTTTACATGTATTCTGGGACTTTCTTGCAGACTCCCTACAGAAGCACTGTCTGACCAACTCTGGGTCAGATTCCAACTGTGCTAGATAAAATTTCTCCATTACTGCCACAGCAATGAGTTTGTGCTCATTATAAACATGTTTTGAAAAGTATTTATAGCATGGCCAAAATTATTGTCTGTTTAATATTTCTGCTCACGTTTGTGTCCAAGTTGCGTGGTTTCTTTTTGAAACCACTCTGATACTTTTTTGTAATTATTTTCATGAAGAAATACATTGAGCTTCTGCTGAAATCCTGCCATGGAAACATGAGGGCAAAGGAGCAGGGCTCTCTGAGTGAATGCTTGAGGAGCCTGCATGGGGGTGCGGTGGTGCTGGTTCCTGGGGGTCCCTGCCTGAGGATCAGCCTCTTGTCTAATATGGCTGGGCTTCTAGCGCCAGGGAGGGAGAGACCAGGTTGGTGCAGTCTGCTCTCAGCTGTCCCTTGGCTGAGTGTTGGTTTCTTCACAGCTGTAATGATCCAGGCATGGAGGGGGAGCTAATTAGACATTTTTCTGGCAGCCTGCACCTGCGTCTCCTGCTGGCCTCTTGCCTCAGCCTCTTGGGTTCTAATCTAGAGAGAAGTGGGAATGTTTTATGTTACTGGGTCTCTGATCAACTTGGATCAGAACAGAGCCGTGAACTCTCCCTCAGTGGCCAAGGAGCCATGGGACGAGCACAGGTGCAAAATGTCTCCAGTCTCCTCTTCCAGGGAGCTCTCCCATGCTGTAGAGGGGCAGCGTGGGAATGGGAAAGAGCAAGGACTGTGGAGTCAGCTCACGACCCCCACACTTAGTAACTGGCTGACCTGGAGCTGGTCACTTCGCACTTCCTCACCTTCTTTCATTACCTGAAACATGGGAGCCATGGAGTTGACCTTTAGGGCTGTCATGAGAATAAATGCATGTTACAGTATCTTCTGTGGTGCCTGTCACCTCGTTAGTTTTCAAGAAGTTTTAGTTTCTTTTACCCCCTCCTCTGATTCCTTTTGTGTTTGCATAGATCTTCTCAGCACATCTATAATTTGGGGGAGTGCTTAAGAAACAAAGAGGGGGTGGTTTATTTGACAGTTATTTATGTGCAAAGCAGCACCCCACTCCCCAAGAAGTCCAGTACTGATCCTGAGGTTTTACATACAGTCCCAGAATGGAGAGATAAGATAGTTAAGTACTAAGGATGGAAAGGGATAGAAAAGAAATTCGAAAATTATGTAATTAAATTGAAAGCTAATAGGAGAGACTGTTCACTAATACTCAATATATAGAAATTTTTTCATGGAAACTTTACCAGGGTTTCCTGAGTAAATGATATATAATTTTATCGCCATGAAAAGGCTTGAAAAGAAGCAGGAGCCAAGCAATGAGGCTGTTTTCTAATTTTGTCGTGGACCAGAACCAGAGGTCCCTGGGCCTCTGGCTCACTGAAGCTTTTCTCAGCTGTCACTAATGAAGTTGCTTTCAAACAACACCAGTCTCCAAGGAGTCTATTGTAGTCTACAGACGTTATCTCATTCATCCTTAACTTGATTCTGTTAAGGTATTACAAGGCAGGTAGTCCCTAATTTATAGATGAGAGAAAAAGCAAGCAGATGTAAGAGCATCAGGAAATTCAGGGATGTTATCTCGTGTTGCTCAACATCACACCTTATTTACTGGACCAGCCCGTCTCGGTGACATTCTCTGATTTAGCAGTTGTATTTCTATTTTAAAAAAATCCCATCCAGAGGAGAATGTAATGCTGTTTGGAAAATGAAACTGGCAAACATCATCTTTTTGTAGAACAAGAAGTCCCAGAACATTGACCTAAAAAAAAAACCACTGTGTGTCATTGTCTATTGGCAAAAATGTTTCACTGATAGAAAAAAGTTACAACACTGACCTGGTGCTTATTTTGTTAACATTATCTTCAACTTTTTCACCTTAAGCATCTTTTGTGCATATGTCTAGTGACATGTAGTGGGAGATTAAGAAGTTGTCAGAATGAAGACATCAGATGCCCATGGGTACTTAGTGTACTCAAACATTTCTTTCACTTTTTAGCTTATGTCCTAAAATATGCTTACATTTTAATTATGGTTAAAGGTCCTACACACATTTTGTATTGGGACGCCTAGACATTAAATCCACTCACTTGAATTAAAAATTCACCTCCAGAAAAATACTTATTTCAAATGAGGCTCGTACCGAAGTTGCCCCCACTTGTTTTAAACTGTTGAACTCTCTTCTGTATCTGACTTTTCCCCCATTTTGTTGTTTTCACCATTCTTGAAAATGCCTAAAGCTATTGTAGTAATTGTTGCCACGGCTCCAACAATATTTAAGGTAATTTTTTTCTCCCCATTTGAAAAGAATGATGATTAATTGCTTCAGTTAGCTGTGAATGTGAGAAGTAAGGTGTGTTTTCATCAGAAAATATTACCATACGGTTATGTCACCATGTTTTCTGGAATCTTGGAAGTATGTGATGAGTTCACTGTCTCCTAATGGTTTTTTCCACCTCTGAGGAATTCCTATCATATGAAAGGTTTTAAATTATTTAAACCTAGGATGTTCTCGGGCCCATGGAGCCAAAGTGAGGATTTCCCTAGAGTGTCCAGTGTCTGTGGGAGAACCTCTAGCTGGGGGGATATCTGGCTTCCTTGCACTCGTTGCCTTCCTTGTACTGCTTTTTGGCAAGTTGTGCTAATACTTGAAAGGTTTGTCATCCAGAAAGTGGCCCCAGAGGAGCTGCCAACTGACTCCCAGAGTGGAGAGACCTGGCCCTGCAATTGAAGAATTGGAGCAAAGTTCTTTGTAGAGATATCTTAATCTAGGTATACACCTGGCCATGCATTATTGCCTTGAGTTTAAATGTAGACCTAATGTCTACACTTATCCAGTTATTGTTTTCTCCACTGAAATGCTTTTTTTTCCCCTTTAACTCAAAAGTAAGGTTTTTGCTTTGATATTCTGATAAACTTCATGACCTAGCTTTTTGATTTTTCAGATATTGATGAATGTTCAACTCCAAGTACCTGTCCAGATGAGCAGTGTGTGAATTCTCCTGGATCTTACCAGTGTGTTCCCTGCACAGAAGGATTCCGAGGTTGGAATGGGCAGTGTCTTGGTAGGTACTAGAATGTTCTTATCAAAGTTTTGTTTCTTCTGTGTGGCCTATTTTCTGATAGCATGGCATAATGCCAAATGAGCCCTCTTTAAAATGAAAAAAAGAAAGAAATGTAATAAACTTACATTGTTCTAAGTGACTTTTAACCATGGAGAAAATAAGGAAATGAGTTGGCATGAAGGATATGAGATTGTAGAGGGGTAAATCATTCTTTTGGGGGGGGTTATGAATATTCATGAGATACAGAGTTGAGGCAAGTAATTCTGAGGGAAACAAATTGTTGTCCCTAATGAGGTAAATAACCCAAACCAAATAAAATAGTAAGCACTATCGAGAGGAGAGAGAAAAAAACAGTTAAGAAGAGAGAAGCAGCCCAAAGAGACCTACCACAAATAGAACTAGGAAACATGCAAACCCCCCCCCCCACACACACACACAACAGAAGTAGCAAATGTACTTGAGGCACTAAGGAAGCTAAAGTGACAAATTTGCTTTGGTTCTAATTACCTGTGCTGTAGTTAGCTCTCCCCTTAGTGGTCTTCCTTCATGTATCTGTCTGCCATGTGATCTCTTTCTTAAAAGTTGAATGCTTTTCCACCACATGCCAGAACTCTGAATATGTGAGTTAAACTTTTCGTTCATTCATTCCTTCTTTCCTTTCTACCCCGGATGCTTAAGAACTTACAATATAAACCTAGAGTTGTATTTAGTTTTGGGACAGATTGAGGGGCAAAACCAGATGTGACCACTTCCTCATGGCACTTATAGTCTAGTGGAGGAGACTGACATGCACCCAAATATCTCACAATCAGTGCAAACTTACAGAGGCGACAAACGCTAGGAGGAAGGTTCTGTGGTGCAATGGGAGCATATGATGGAAAGAGTTGCCCTTAGGAAAATTCTTGAGATGAGGTTTAACTGGGGAAGGGGGTAGGAGGGAGAACATTTTGGGCAGAGGAAACAGCATATGCAAGGGGCTTGTGGACGGAGGAAGCAGATCATGTTCCAGAAGGCCAGTGTAGCCGAAGGACAGAGAACAAGGGGAAGGTATGCTGCAAGATGAGGGGGCAGACCATGCAAGGCCCTCTTGGTCCTTTTAAAAAGGTTTGTCTTTACTCTGATAGCGTTGGGAAGACCTTTAGGTATTTTAGTGCGCGTGGGGGTAAGTAGGACTGGCAGAAGCACTATTCCTGAGTTCAAAGCTTCAGGCTCATCACCACGTAGCATCAGCTCAGCCTGATGTTCCCTGTGTTGAACACAGTTCGCCTATTCTGAGCCCCCACAGCCATCCCCAAGTGTCTCCACCAATGGAGTTGTGAGATGTAGATCTTCGAGGAAAAGATTTTTATTCATCCGTTGTTTGTTTGATAAGCAATTGTTTATGTAATTGTTTCTATTAGTCAGAAAGTGCATTTGGTTTTAATTTTCCCATTTGGCATAAATTTCATAGCTGCCTATCAAGATTCCATCTTGTATTCTCATTTTCACATACTGGTGCATAATCCAGCATCAGAGCCTGAACTCTGCCTCAAGTAACTACAGTTTGTAATTGTGCTATAAACAGAGCCCCGAATCATGAATTTACTAATAGAATGTGACTGCAGAATTGACAAATGATTGCTCTTTTATATAAATAAATCTAAATGAATTCTTATAGCTGTGTGTGTGTGTGTGTGTGTGTGTGTATATATGTATGTACATAAACATTTTGCTCCAGTTTAGTAATGGAAACACAGCACCTCATTTCAAATTCATTTTACTTTGGCCAACCAGATGAGTACACTGATAAGCAGAAATATTAGGTCAGTGTGTTGCTCAACTCGACCAAAGTCACACATTTAGTCCCTTGTTCCAAGCAACAGTTTTCATTTTTGCATTACTGAGGTCAAGTATTTTCTATTACTAAAAAGTGATTACATTGTATAATGTCGAATATACTAATCCTGATTTGAGCGTCACATATTACACACAGGTAATGATATTCAACTCTGTACCCCCCAGATATGTGCAATCAACTATGTTACAATAAAGAAAAGTAGGCAGCGTACTTTTTCCTTCTTCTTTAAGTAAATTTTAGGCTCTACATAATCTACAGATCAAGCCACTTCTCCATGATATAACTATGGTTCCATCCATTGTCCTATTGGATTTGCAGCTCTTCTGAAATTCTCATGAGGGCTTTTGCACGTTGTGCTGAAATAGATTCTCCATCTTAATTTTTTATGGTGGTAGAGCTTTCAAATGTTGAACAGTTGACTGTAACAAAAGCAGATTGTGTAACATGCCCTTCTTCTTATATTGAGCCACTGAGTGGATTGGATTTTTCTCCTAAACTCTGACAGTGTTAGTGAATGTTGAGCCCTATTTTTTTTTAACGCCTTTACATATTTTAGTTCTCGCCTTGGTACTTTGGTACTGTAAAATACTTTTCAGAAGGTCTTAAGACTATTTTTGAGTTGAGGTCATCGATACACAACTTGATATGTATTTATTCATTCATTTGACAAATATATTGAGCACCCACTATGCACTTATGCTATAGTGCTTGCAGATAAACAGGGAAGCAAGGACAACATAGGGATGTCACACGTGGTGAGTGCCGTGAAGATAACTGAAGCAGCCCAGGGAGACAGGAAGTGTCAGAGGTTCTGTGGTGGTCAGGGTGGGCAAATGATGCTATTGACAAGGTGTTCCTTTCTAATCATTTGTTTCCATCTCTTCTGGTTATCTGTGACCAGTTTATGGCTTTTTATATCCTTTTAGTCCAGATAATCTAGGATACATCCATGAGGGTTTTTTTTTTTTTTTTTTTTTTACCAGTTTTTAATTGGAAATGTATACATGAGAACATTAAGACTTTTTGAAAATTTCCTATAATCACACCATTTTGGAGAAAAGTCCTACATTTGGCATTTGTTAGTTGTCATTTGTAAAGTTGATAATCTCTACCTCACAGGGCTGCTGTGTTTGGTAAATCCTAATATTCTTTTTCTACAACTCTCCTGTCATTATATATTTTTACATTGTTATCATCAAATGTGTACAGTGTTTTATATAATGTTACTTAAATTTGGCATTATGCCTTTTTAAAAAAAAAAAAACAACTTATCTGTCTTCACGTTGATTTGATTTTTTTTCCTGTTAAATAGCTTCATTAGGAATTGCCATTTCGACCCTTATATTCTGCAGGAATTTGACACCAGTTACACTTTCTGTTTCTTTCACTCACTGTCTGATGAACTTGCTGAAACCATTAATGGCCTCTTTGTATTCATGCCATGTAAACTGGATCTTACTGATTGATGTTTCTCCTTGGTTTATGCATTAGAACAGAAATTGGGGTAGAAACAGGTAAAATGTTAGCAGGTGTTGTCTTGGGGGCTACCTTTTTCCTAGTGTTTAGTTCAGGCATGCATCCCTTCATTCTCAATAGCTTATTATCCACTTCAAATATCTATCATTTTCAGACTCTGCCTAACACACATCATCCCTTAATGCTTTTTGGCAACTCTTGTTGGCTCTTCCGTAAATGTAGCTGCTTCTTTCGACTTGTGGATTTTGGTCTTCTCTCGAGAGTCACTTTCATCATTCAGTACTGTATTCCTTGGACTTGACATTCAACCTGTAGTTGTTGCCCAGTCAGTCCCCACCTTTAATGACTGTTTCATCACCTTGGGTGCTGGCCAGTTCCTACTGGCTGCTTCAACCTGGACCTTTCTTAAGGGAAAGCAGCCTGTCAGGTACTTTTTATTTACAGGTTTCTCCGGACTCGCAGAGAGCTGGCTTGATTGAAACCTGATGAGACCCATCCCCCAAGGACACTCTTCTTATATTTAATTATTTAAAGGTACATTTGGTATCTCTCATGCAGAGATCTTAGTTCCCTGTATTTAGACAGATTTGGGGCTAAGTGACCCCTCTCCAGCTTACTGCCATTATCTGTAACATGGGGATTGAAATACTTTCTCTGTAGGGCTTATTGTCAGAATTACTTAAGTGACATAAAGCACCTAGTAAGGTGTCTGGCATAAGATAGGATGCAGTAAACATTATAACCCTTCTTTCCTCAACCATATTACCCTCCTCTTTACTACCCTTGCCCTGAAATATAAGAAATGCTGTAATAACTGATACCTGTTGAAATAAGTGATATGTCACATTTCTCTGAATAACTACATTCTCTTTGGCTTGCTTTGAGCTCATGTCATATGGTTTTTAACTATCCCTATATCATTGGAATTTTCTCTTATGAATTTAAGTAATGTGGTTTTCCTTTCAGCTTCTCAACATTTTTACTTAACTGGAATATACTTCTTAGGGATACTTCTCTGTAGAGTCAGTGATTCCTAACAAATGTTTAGGCTTTGATAATAATGCTGCTGTTTCCATTCTTTTATTTCATTATTTTTGCTCACCTTCATGAGGCAGAATATCTATCATCCATTGCATAGATATTAAACCCTTTTGGGGTTTACTTCATTGTCTTGATTTGCAGTTGAGTTCATGACAGACCCGGTGACCTGGGAATACAAATTTCTGAGGTTTCATCAGAGTAATCCTTCTTTGTTAGTCCCTAACTGAGTTAAGGATGCCTTTTTGACTCTCATTTAAGCTTGCTAAATAGAATATGTCTTAGGCAACTGAAGAACTTAGTATCTTTTAATCCACTTAACAACTGGTTAGCCATAGTCTTAACCAAAACCAAGCACAGAGAACATACAGGATAAACATGGAGAGCTCATTGTTACTAGATGTTTACTTCACACTAGGATTTATTTGTAGATTTCAAGTTTCACTTAACTTTTGTGGAATACATGACTATTCATAGACTTATCTGTAATTGAAGACTTTCATATACATTTATTTATTTTGCATGAGAGCAATTGAGCACAACATGTACCTTTTGTGGATTTTATAAAATGTGCCAACAGTTTTACCCCTAAATCATCATATGCTAAAGTAGTTTTCTAACCAGTCACTAATCTGCTTGCCGAGCACTT